CAGGTGGGGACCTGGAGAACTTTTCTGTCTAGCTAAAGGTTTGGAAACGCACCAATCAGCACTCTGTGCCTAGCTAAAGGTTTGGAAATGCACCAATCAGCACTCTGTGTCTAGCTAAAGGTTTGTAAATGCACCAATCAGTGCTCTGTGTCTAGCTAATGAAGTGGGGGACTTGGAGAACTTTTGTGTCTAGCTAAAGGATTGTTAATGCACCAATCAGCGCTCTGTGTCTAACTAAAGGTTTGTAAGTACATCAATCAGCTCTCTGTAAAACGGACCAATCAACCCTCTGTAAAATGGACCAATCAACAGGATGTGGGTGGGGCCAGATAAGGGAATAAAAGCAGGCCACTCCAGCCAGCAGTGGCAACCTGCTTTGGTTCCCTTCCACACAGTGAAAGCTTTGTTCTTTTGCACTTCACAATAAATCTTGCTGCTCCTCATTCTTTGGGTCCTCGCAGCCTTTAAGAGCTGTAACACTCAATGAAAGGTCTGTAGCTTCACTCCTGAAGCCAGTGAGACCATGACCCACTGTAAGGAACGAACAACTCCAGATGCACCACCTTTAAGAGCTGTAACACTCACCGTGAACATCTGCAGCTTCACTCCTGAAGTCAGTGAGACCATGAACCCACCAGAAGGAAGAAACTCCAGACACATCTGAACATCAGAAGGAACAAACTCTGGACACACCATCTTTAAGAACTGTAACACTCACCGCAAGGGTCTGTGGCTTCATTCTTGAAGTCAGTGAGACCAAGAACCTACCAATTCCAGACACACTAGGAGGAGTAGGGCTGCCTTTGCTGAGTCATGTAGCTTGTCAGGTAAGTGGGGGAAAGCCAGCAGTCACAGGCCTCACTCAGCTCTCATGCAAACTGAACGGCCAGTCTAATTTCCACCATGTTCCCCTCAACAACCTGGAGTCTGTTTCCAGGTGGAGGGTGAGACCCACTTGAATACTTGCCTGAGACTTTCCACCTCCCAGCTGCCAAAGAAAAGCGCTTTAGTTTTGCCCCCGTCTGTGAAGTCTGCATGCTGGATTCATGCCATCCTCCAGGTACTGGCCAGGAGGTTTCATGCCCCATTCAAATTGTTACAAAGTTCAGGTAGAGAATTCCTTCTGCCTGTGGTATTTACCCCCTACTTCTCTGGCCAACCTCCTAGTGGATCCCTGTGGTGCCAGGCAGGTATGGGCTGCTTGGGGGACCCAGCGAGCTCCCAGGGCCTTTCCGCTATTTCTCCTACCACTGTATTTCACTTGACTCAGCTCTCTAACTTGACTCAGCTCCAGGTAAAGTCAAAAACTTCCCTGACAAGCAGACATTCAGATTCTCTAGGGGGGGTGTGTGTTGAGAAGAGAAGGGTCTCCCTTTACAATTTCTGCAGTTGGGACACCCACAGTATTTGTGGTGTCTCCTGGGTCCTGAAGAAACAGTCTGCTTCCATCATAGGATATGTGGGTCCTCTCAGGATTACCGGTTTGCTCTTGCAGTCGATCTTGAGCTAAAATTCACAGTGCAAGCCTCTGTCTCCTGCTGTGTCTGGAACTGCAATCTAGTCCTGCTTGCCATCTGCCATGATGCCTCAGTCATCACAAATAATCTTTTAATAACATTGTGACTAAGCATGCATACTCTGTAGTCAGATCATATACATTTAAGTATTGCTTGTGATATTAAGTTTCTGAGTGATACTGGGCAAGTTACATAAGCTTTCTATGCCTTGGCATTTTCATCTGAAAATGGGAAAAAATAATATTACCTACCTCAAAATGTTGTAAGAATTAATGTACGTAAAATACTCAGAATAGCACATGGAATATTGTAAGTACACCATAAATGTGAAATTACAAAAAAAAAAAAAAAAAAAAAACTGAAAATGCAATGAGATAAAATTTACATTGAAGTAATGTGCATAAAATGAATCACAGGAAGAGAATCATTCACAAGAATGTGAAATTTGAGAAGCGATTTAAGAATGTATCGTGTGGTAGGCTGCTTGCCATGTGGTCCTCAAAATTCTCCCACTATGACCCTAGGCCTGGCCAGGTCACTTGTTTGATCTAATAGAACTCTACAGAAGTAAAATATGACTTCAAGGCATAATCCTTAAGAAAGCTTGCAGGTATTATCCTCACTTTTTTGAGACAATGCCAGGGTACAGCTAAATGGAGTTTCTTTTTCTTTTTTTCTTTTTCTTTTTTTTTTTTTTTTTTTTTTTGGATATGGAGTCTCGCTCTGTCACCCAGGCTGGAGTGCAGTGGCTGAATCTCAGCTCACTGCAAGCTCCACCTCCCAGGTTTATGCCATTCTCCTGGCTTAGCCTCCCAAGTAGCTGAGGCTACAGGTGCCCGCCACCATGCCGGGCTAGTTTTTTGTATTTTTTTAGTAGAGACGGGGTTAGGCAGGATGGTCTCCATCTTCTGACCTCTAGATGGAGTTTCTTTACATGAGAGTCTAAGAACATTGTTTCAAGAGAGTGAGGGCAAGAGTCGACATCCAAAACTTAAATGAAGCCACCTTAGACAATCTGTCTAAGTGGACTGCGTTATGGTTCTCCAGAGAAAGAGAACCAAGAGGATGTGTGTGTGTGAGTGTGTGTTTGTGTATGTGTATGTATGCAGAGAGAGAGAGATGTAAATTTATTTTAAGGAAACCCTTCCTACAATTGTGGAAGCTTGATAAGTCCAAAATCTGCAAGGTACAACAGCAGGCTTGAGACTCAGGGAAGAGTTGCAGTTTGGGTCCAAAAGCAGTCTGCTGACAGAATTTCTTCTTATTTAGGTGTGATGTCAATTACTGTCTATTAAGTCCTTCAACCAACTGGATGAGGCCCACCCACATTGTGAAGAATGATCCTGTAAAATATTATCTCATTCCCAAAACACCTAGACAGAAATATTTAGAATGATGTTTGACCAAATATCTGGGCACTATGATCCAGCCAAGTTGGTACAAAAATTAACCATCACATAGAGCCCCCAGGATGACTTTTGCTGCATGAGGTGTATACAGGGAAATCAGTAGAACTGTCCAACTGAACCCAGCACAAACTTCTCACCCCCAAAATTGGCAGCAAATAAAGTGATTGTTAGTTGAAGCTACTAAATCTGAAGGGACTTTTTTTGCAGCAATAAACAACTGATACACATAGGAAAAATAACTCAGAAATTAAAATGAAAAGAAAATATTTGACATGAATTTTTCAAAATGCTTTTTAAACATTGATAAAAATTATTATCATACGTGGTATGAAACATTGTTGTTTTTCAAAGAAGTTTACTGGTTAACCTTGAAGTTGATGATAGTTTATCCAGTATTTCTCATTAATTCTAAGTGGTGAAAATTGCTGTCATTGAATTGGGTAAAATGAGTCATTTCCAAGAAAAGCTTCACCAATTTAAACTGTTTTCTTGTTACAGAGTTAGCCAGGTCTTTGCCTGTCTTCATGGGAGGATGAGTAGAATAACAGTGATCTTTTACACGTAGAAATGTATTGGAATCATAGGAAGTCTTCAGGCCTACTGTGTCCAGTGTTCATTACGATTTTTTCTTATTTTGAGTCTCTCCTTTGTCAAGTTGGGAATCATGCTGTTCAATATTTTCAAAGTTACTGGCTTTTCTCATTCTGTCCTAGATAGAAATTTAACCACTTGTAACAAGTAAAAATCTTGGACAAGCAAAAAAACAAAACAAAACAAAACAAAACACTTTTATATTACAGTTAATACATTTGATATGAATTTTACAGTACAGAAAACCAAACAGAAATTTTTTTAAAATAGTTATCAATTATTTGGCTTCAAAGGAATGTGTGTGTGTGTGTGTATGTTTGTGTGTGTGTGTGTGTGTGTGTTTGTGATTGGGATTATAAAAAGAAAATAAATAGAGTATGATCAAATAGATTTGAGTGAAAACTATGGTAATCAAAAAAATTAACACACATGCTATGTTACAAGTGTGAAGGCAAAAGATATATTACTATAAGTGAAAAGACTCAGAAAAGTTTCCATCTGAGGGCTCGTGTTGAAATATTTGCATGAAGACTCATTTTATTTAGCTGAGAAGTTAATTATTTTAGCTATTCAAAATGGAGAAATCATTATATGAAGCACACACATTACTTCTCTTTTATCAAGATTGAACTTGTACTCCATAAACTGATGAATATTTGTAGTCAGATGTATGCAATCCAAGCTGATGTGAACTTAAAGACTTGTGTGGGGCCTCCACCGTTCTCCTTTATTTCCTCTTTAATGTTATCAAACAAAGTGTGTCTCTGTGGGACTATGCCATACTTATTAGCTGTATGAAATTTATTTCCACATTTCCATAAGTTTGTTTATCAGCAAAAACAACAAATGGTGATGTTCTATCTCAATGCTTAGTTATTGCTAAATATGACATATTTAGGACACTATGCCAAAAAACATACTAAGTTTTTTTTGCTACTTCAAAATATTTACACAAAGAAACAGCAGTAATTTTCTTCCCCAAGGATGGTGCATAATGAAGGTGTGCAACTCTAAAAAAGTTATTTCATGATCTAAATTACTATCTTCTTTATGGCAAAGATCAATTAAACCACCCACTTTCATCATCATGAATCAGGAAAATAAATATATAAATAAATAAAAATAAAGACATTTTAATTTTTTAAAATTTCTTTTCATCATCATAATAAAAATAATTGTTTCATGCGTTTGAGGGACATTAAATGCTCATACTTATTCATAACAATCTCAAGATTACTAATTATTGTCAATCTTATTTTAGATATATCCTGACATACTTGGTTAGCGGGGGTAGGGGCAGAGATCATGAGAGTAAATGCAAAATTCAGGGCAAATAGTTGCTAGGGAACCAATAGAAGGTTACACCTTTGACAAAAGGTTAATCTGCTTCACAGTTTAGTGGGTGGAAAATGTTAAGTATAAATGACTTTACGTAATCTTTATTCCATTTAAGATCATATTACTGATTATATTATGCTTATTCACCTAGGATTTATTTACATTCAGCTTCTTCCTTAATGTCAAATGAGTGCTGTTAACGTTCCTTCAGGAAACTTCAGGTAAGAAACTAGAAAACTTCATGTTAATCAATACAAAATGTATGTTTAAATTTATTTTCCATTTGCTTCTTAAAGAAATATCAATCATCGAAAGGTTGGTTTAGCTTTTGGTTTGTTTCATTGCTTACCCATGAAAGTGTTATTAGTTCTAATTTATAATTTGAGGGATTTTTCTCCCAGATTTTATACTTCAAAATAATTTTACAGATATTGAGGGAACTGTGTGGACAGAGCAGTAAGTTGAGAGTTTTGTCTAAGTGTGAACTCACAGTCCTCTTTAGGGGTTCTTCTCATGCCTCTTGTTCCTACCAGTGGAGAGTTGTTTGTTCCTTCATTAGATGACACATAAGGTAACAAATAAGAAACTTTATACTGACATATGGTGAAGACAAGGATAATGTACACAAGTGACCACTGTGGTCTTTAAGACAAACATGAGGGGGCGACCTATGGGCTGCGAGGAGGAGCCTTGCCTAACTTGCAGGCAGCGCAGGGCAGAGGGCAGCAGGAGAGGCGTTCGTGGGCAGGATGAATGCAGGCTCAGATCCTGTGGTCATCGTCTCGGCGGCGCGGACCATCATAGGTTCCTTCAATGGTGCCTTAGCTACTGTTCCTGTCCAAGACTTGGGCTCCACTGTCATCAAAGAAGACTTGAAGAGGGCCACTGTGGTTCCTGAAGATGTGTGGGAGGTCATCTTTGGACATGTTTTGGCAGCAGGCTGTCGGCAGAATCCTGTTAGACAAGCCAGTGTGGGTGCAGGAATTCCCTACTCTATTCCAGCATGGAGCTGCCAGATGATCTGTGGGTCAGGTCTAAAAGCTGTGTGCCTTGCAGCCCAGTCAGTAGGGATAGGAGACTCCAGCACTGTGGTTGCAGGAGGCATGGAAAATATGAGCAAGGCTCCTCGCTTGGCTCACTTGAGAACAGGAGTAAAGATAGGTGAGATGCCGCTGACTGACAGTATACTCTGTGATGTTCTTACAGATGCATTTCACAACTGTCATATGGGTATTACAGCTGAAAACGTAGCCAAAAAATGGCAAGTGATTAGAGAAGATCAGGATGAGGTTGCAGTTCTGTCTCAGAATAGGACAGAGAATACACAGAAAGCTAGCCATTTTGACAAAGAGGTTGTATCAGTTTTGGTGTCATCTAGAAAAGGTCTTATTGAAGTTAAAACAGATGAGTTTCCTCGCCATGGGAGCAACATAGAAGCCATGTCCACGCTAAAGCCTTACTTTCTTACCGATGGAATGGGAACCGTCACCCCAGCCAACGCTTCAGGAATAAATGATGGTGCTGCAGCTGTGGTTCATATGAAGAAGTCAGAAGCTGATAAACGTGGGCTTACACCTTTAGCACGGATAGTTTCCTGGTCCCAAGTGGGTGTGGAGCCTTCTATTATGGGAATAGGACCAATTCTAGCCACAAAACAAGCAGTTACAAAAGCAGATTGGTCACTGGAGGATGTTGATATATTTGGAATCAATGAAGCCTTTGCAGCCCTCTCTGTTGTCGCAGTTAAAGAACTTGGATTAAACCCAGAGAAGGTCAACATTGAAGGAGGGGCTATAGCCGTGGGCCACCCTCTTGGAGCATATGGCTGTCGAATTCTTGTGACCCTGTTACACACACTGGAGAGAACGGGAGGAAGCTGTGGTATTGTGGCCCTGTGCATTGGGGGTGGGATGGGAATAGCAATGTGTGTTCAGAGAGGATGAATTGCTTAAACTTTGAACAACCTCAATTTCTTTTTAAACTAATAAAGTACTAAGTTGTTATATGTGAAATCAGAGGACCAAAACACATGGAAACCATTTCCTACATCACAAAAACCCAAGTTTACAACTTGTTGTACTTTAATGTGTAATACTTAACTCAAGGTACAAGACAATTGCATTTAACATTGTTATACATACAAGAGACATCAGATCAATCAAAAAAAAAAAAAAGACAACACATGAATAACAGGATGTAAGATGTCATCCTCAGTGGGAATTTTATTTTCTTAATATTAATTAATAGATTTTTAAATATTTATTTTAAAATCTACTGTAAATATGTTTTATGCTATAATAAGTTTTATGCTATAAATCAAGTTTTATGCAAAATTCATTTTATTTATTAATAAAAGAAAAATGATGGCCGGGCATGGTGGCTCACGCCTGTAATTCCAGCACTTTGGGAGGTGGATCACCTGCGGTCAGAAGTTCAAGACCAGGTGAAACCCGTCTCTGCTACATATACAAAAATTAGCCAGGCGTGATGGTGGTCGCCTGTAATCCCAGCTACTCAGGAGGCTGAGGCAGGAGAATAGCTCGAACCTGGGAGGCGGAAGTTGCAGTGAGCCGAGATCATGCCCTTGCACTCCAGCTTGGACAGCAGGAGTGAACTTTGTCTCAAAAAAAAAAATTAAAAAAAAGACATAAAGTTTTTCTAAAGAAAATATTGCTGTGAAACTCAGCTGTGAAGCAGACCGTCTAAAAAAAAAAAAAAAAAAAAAAAAAAAAAAAGTACTAAACCAATTGTGTTAATATTAATGACATGCTTACTCCTTTTGGGTGCAACTTTTAACCAGTAGAAGGCATCTGAGTTATCAGTGGCGAATCCTTACACGTCTGCAGCAACTTCAATTCTTGCCTCCTCAGAAGAAAAAAATTGACTGAGGGGCATAAGGAAGAGAAGATGAGACTGACACGAGTTTCAGAGCAGGAGTGAAAGTTTATTTTAAAGGCTTTAGAACAGGAAAGAAAGGAAAACTCACTTAGAAGAGACTCAAGTGGGCACCTGAAGTGCCCCGTTTAACCTTGATCCTAGGACTTTGTAGGCTCGCCTCTTTTCCATGATTCTTCCTTTAGCGTCGGCTGCCCACATGTACAGTGTCCTTCTTACCCTTGGGAAGTGAGCATGCACGGTCTGTTTAGGAAGTTGTATATATGCTCATCTGAGGCTTTTTTCCCTTTTTTGTAAAGTGTCCCTGGATGGTCACACGTCAACATTTTGCCTCTTAATGCACGTGCCCAGGAAGTCGCTCCTCTCTGGCATCTGCATTCACTTAATTCTTTAATGTTAACAGCTGTGGATCATAGAGACATTGTCTCTCCCAGGCACTGGCTGCAAAATTCTCATTTTTAGAGAGGCAGTGTGATAATCATCGAACTGTCACCTGACATTCCTAATGCCTATCTAATTACCTGTAACACAATTAAGCAAAGTTTATATTTTATTATCATTGTCTAAGACAAAAATATTTGAGTATGCTAACTTCTGAAATATGTTAGTTTTTTTCTCTGAACTCATGAGCGTTCACAAATATTGTAATCATATTACACTTAGTTTATTTTTATTTTTAATTTTTATGTGTACATAGTATATATATGTATATTTTATGACATATTTGTGATGTTTTGATACAGGGATAAAATGTATTTCTTTCAAAATTTTTCTGGCAAGGGCAGATTAGCTTTTCAGTGATTTTAAGATCAGAATAATTACAAACACAAATTCAGACCCACATTTTAGGCAAAATCTTTCTATTTAACAACCTCTTTAAGCCTTTTGTTGTCAATATAACTTCATTTAGTATTCTATTAAATTTGAAAACACAAATCAATCTAAAATTTAACCTGACTAGTGTGAGAAAGTTTTTAATAATGATCATATTTTTGGCTATTTATGTTGTATCAGCACATCACATATATCACATGAATTTATGCATCTATTTTGTAGTCCACAAAAATTAAAATTGAAAACACTAAAATTCATCAGTGGCATAACACCTTTGTGCACACTGCTTGTCATGTACATCCAGGTACCCTGTACTTCAACACGAGTATCAAATATCATACCTTTCATGAAGACTTTCCTATCCTCCACCCTACCCTTAATCCCCCCAAAAAGCTGTAAGTAATCTCTACGGATCTCTGAAAACACTATACCTATGCCATTTCATATGAAGGCCCTTGTTAATTTCTCTAGGGAAGAGAAGAGAAGGGATTACATGAAAAAGATAATACATTTTAAACATCACTTTTACTCCAGGTAATATACTTGTGGCTTAATAAATACAATTGTATCTATTTAAATATATAGTTTTCTTATATGTTGTATTATTACATAATTTATGGTATTTATTGTATATTCATTTTTAATATATTAACAAATATGCTTATTTTATTTTATTACTTTATATTCTCAAACAAGTTGTTTTTAATTTTCATTTTATATATGAGAAAATTTGGTCTAATAAACGTTAAACAGCATAATGTTAAGCTAGGATTCTTTGGCCTAATTTATTCTAAAATCTAAATTATGTTTATAATATCTTGCTTACTATAATGTATTACAGTGATTTTTGTCGCAGATATGTATGTATTTTTCTTATCTTCCACTGATAGACTATAAAAGTAATATGAGAAAGATCTCTTGGATTCCTCTTCTACCTAGTAGGTACTGCTGTGTGTGAATAATAGGTACCCAATAAACACATAGTGAAGCAGCTTAAGGTCACTGGAGCAGTCTCCCTGTCGGAGGTATTACCCAGAGGTCTTTGTCTTAGGACCAAGAAAATTAAGGTGCATGGACATCAAGGGTGAGGTTGGAGTGAAAGTCTAGTAAGTGAAAGGGGAAATTTCTCCACAACAGAGAGGGGGACCGAGAGGATTGCCATTTCTCAGTTGAATGCAAAGACTTTTATAAACAAGTCAATGGGGTGGGGTGTTTTTTATTTGCAAAGGTGCGAATTTCTCACAACTCCACCCACTCCCTCTTGTGTGCATGCAGGCCCTGAGTTATTCCATATTATCCTGTTTCCTTACTGCGCATGTATCAGGAGATGGAATTTTCCATTGCAGACATGCCTGGTTCTGTGTAACTAATCTTATCTGTGCACATGCAGGCATGTCTTAGGCAAGCCTCCCTGTGTAAGTTCTCTTATCTGAAGAGGATAGGAACAAAAAAGAAAAGGAACATGCTCACTGAAGCCCACAGTGTGTATATGTATATGTCTTTTGCTGGTTACAAAAGATAAGGGTCTTTTATGGTTGACCTTGCCTCTTTATCTGTGCTTGAAGGTTGTGCAGCTTCAGTCTGCCCTTTTGTTAGAAAGAATTTTACCAAAGGACCTTGTTCTAACTATCTGCCTAACTGGTTTCTTGATTTCTCCTCTCTCAATAGTACTTGAATAAAATACCATATTTTAGTTATCTAAAACTGGATCTGATTCCCAGCCAATAAATAAAATGAAGAAAATAACATCAGTGAATCATGACATCCTAATGAATCATGACAATTATTTTAAAGTTTCTTGCCAAGTCACTATGAACCAGGCTGACACCAGGAAGGCAGAAATTTTGTGCACACCATAACATCTTCTGCAGAGAGCCTAGAATGGAAATAAATTCAAGGAATTTTATGATCACTCTGTTAAACTTTGAACAGTACTTTATAAAAGTAATTGTTTGAATGAAACAGTTGATGTTTTCATACAGATTATCTTTGGTAATGGGAGAGCTTAGAAGAGACGATTTTATGATATCACTAAGAATATAGCATTTATAATTTCAGAAGGTTTATTAACACAAAAAAGATCACTCTGCTTATTCACAGACACATGCATACAAACATAATATTTTCACAGAGATCGCTTTACTTAAATTACTTGATCCGATATTATCCAATGTGTGTTACAAAATTTTGTATTGTGTTATCTTGCTTTTGGAAGGCTGCTATTCATATAGATTCCTTAGTTGGTAAGGGCACATGATACATTTTGATGGGACGATCTATCCCAGTGGTTAATACAATAGGCTGTGGGAGTTAGAGATCCTTAAGATTGCTACCATTAGTTCCCATCTTTTATTTATTCTTATTTTAGGGGTTCAAGTGCAGTTGTGCTGTCTGGGTACATTGTGTAGTGGTGAAATCTGAGCTTTTAGTGTACCCATCACCCAAGTAGTGTACACTGTATTTTCATTGTACCCAATAAGTAGTATTTTCTTATTTTGCTGTAGGAACATGGCAAGTTATTCAATCTCTTTGGGCAGTGGTTTCTTTTTCTTTGATGTGGGAATAATTATAAAAGATCCATAATTGGATTTTTTTAAAAAATAAGCAATAAATGAAATTAACGTGTTAAAAAGTTTGCATGATGTCTGACATACAACGAGGACTTAATAAACGCTAGCAATCATTGAAGGGTGAGTCTAGGTGTCAAGTAGCTGTTTTTCATGCAGGCTAGATAGCTTTTGAGCAGCACTTTTGGTAGATGTATGCTTGACTTAGTAACTCTCTTTAAATAGCTCCTATTCACTAGTAACATAACCTATAATCTCTTGCACATCTTTTATTTTATTCATTTATTTATAATATTTACTTGGTGATTAACATAAACTATTTTTGTAAACATGTTACTAAAGTAGTTATAAATATAGTATATATGTTATACATATTATTTATAAGTATTTGAATTTATACATATTTATAGTAATATATATTTATAAATATCATTTGACATAATGTTATATATTATAACTATTATTATAATGTCTAATTGTGACAAATGAAATTATATTAATGCATTAAAAATTTTAAAACTTACAGTATCAACAACTTTAAATTTCTGAATGAGTTTTGGTCCTAACTAAGGTTTCAATATCTAGACCTGAATGTAGAGTGGACATATACAGAAGCTTTATCTAATTTAATTGTAAAAATTTAACAATTATGAAACACACAAAAAAGGGTTGGAGGATTAAGTTCAAAAGGAGGATTAGACAGCAGGAATCATACTAAAACATTAAAATTAAAGCAACAGGTTGAGAAGTAAGACACATTACCCATACATCTGTAAATACCCTAAAATATGGAGCTACTGTGACTAGTATCACTTTATAGCGAGAAGGGTTTTAAGTGTATTAATGGTTTGCCTCAAAACTGAGAAATCCTTTTGTCTTTCCTTTTCTTTTTCCCTTAAAAGCAGAGAAAAAGTTTTGCTTCACATCTCATCAAATCTTCTGCATCAAGCCACATCATGTTAAACAACCTTCTCCTGTTCTCCCTTCAGATAAGTCTCATAGGAACCACTCTTGGTGGAAATGTTTTGATTTGGCCAATGGAAGGTAGTCATTGGCTAAATGTTAAGATAATTATAGATGAGCTCATTAAAAAAGAGCATAATGTGACTGTCCTAGTTGCCTCGGGTGCACTTTTCATCACACCAACCTCTAACTCATCTCTGACATTTGAAATATATAAGGTGCCCTTTGGCAAAGAAAGAATCGAAGGAGTAATCAACGACATCGTTTTGACATGGCTGGAAAATAGACCATCTCCTTCAACCATTTGGAGATTCTATCAGAAGATGGCCAAAGCAATCAAGAACTTCCATATAGTGTCTCGGGAGATCTGTGATGGTGTTCTTAAAAACCAACAGCTGATGGAAAAGCTAAAGAAAAGCAAGTTTGAAGTCCTGGTGTCAGATCCAGTATTTCCTTGTGGCGATATAGTAGCTTTAAAACTTGGAATTCCATTTATGTACTCCTTGAGGTTTTCTCCAGCCTCAACAGTGGAAAAGCACTGTGGGAAGGTACCATACCCACCTTCCTATGTTCCTGCTGTTTTATCAGAACTCACCGACCAAATGTCTTTCACTGACAGAATAAGAAATTTCATCTCCTACCACCTACAGGACTACATGTTTGAAACTCTTTGGAAATCCTGGGATTCATACTATAGTAAAGCTTTAGGTATGTAACAAATTTTGTTTCTATTACTTGAATTTGAAAAAACAGAACTTTGTGGAGCCCCTTCTTTATTTCTCTATGTCTACTCTTTTTTAATTCCAAGTATTGATATACTATGTATTACTATCACTTGATAGCACAAAAGAAGATAAAAGACATTGTACTTCAGAAGTACAGTGTGTTGTTTTCTAATTGCATGGACTTAAAGATATCAATTTAGTTCTTTTAAGGATAAAATATAGTGACAAATACTTTAGTCTAAAAGTCAGGCTGTATCTTATGTAGATATTATGCTCAAAATAGAAATTGCCTAGAAACTACAGGGATGTGTGGAGAAAGCCAGAAAATGTTAAACTTTCCACAAGCCTATTATTAATACAGACATTATTATGCATGTTTAAGAGCATACATGTATGTTGATAATCTCTGATCATCATTTAATAAATATTAAGGCTCATAAAGAAACAAAATACATTAAGGCTTTATCACCTTTAATTGTAAGGTGTGAACTAAAACCATTGATCTGGATGATTTATCCATGCTAAGCTTATTTAACTTGCTTAAGTGTGATATGGTGTTTACCTGATAAATAAAAATGTAATCAATGGTACTAATATCAAAAAGCCTATATTGATCGTGTTGATATATTTATGAACATATTTGTCTAAAAATCAAACAGGCTTTGTCCATTTTTTTGCTTTTGAATTTTATCATTTATTCCTCATTAATTTTAGATTTCTTACTCTTTACTAAGCACTCTTTTAGATAGGAAGACTAAAATAAAGTCCATCGGTTCAAGGATTTCACAAACAGATAAATCAGACATTAAAAGGAATATTTATTATGTGAATTACGTAAATATGGAAATATGTACCAATTACAAAATGTAGAGGAGTTAGGTATTATGTTGACAGACAGAGTGTGTTATTTTGAAAAACTTCAGAGTTCAGGTGATGCATAAGGATACTTTAAAATACTGAATGTGAGTTTTCCTGCAAAGTAAGAACGGGGAAAGAAAAAGCATGCTCAAAGTTGAAGACAAAACAGCACAGGTGCGATGGGTATTTCCGATAATTTAGTATTGCTGAAGGTTCAAGTGTAAAGTAGGGAGGCATGGGGGAAGATGCTAATGACGTTGAAACCACAAGAATGAGTGAATGAATTCAATGAATATTTCAAAGTCTCCTGTACATCATTCTAAAAACATCTTAATCTAATAAGCAATTGAGAACCATCTAAAGGGAAATATTATGACCTGATTTTCATTTTATATAAAACACTTGGACTGATGTGGCGGTAGAGTTGAGAGGTGTGAGACTAGACTAAGTTATCACTCTAGGAAAGACATGGTAAGAGCCTGCCCTACACAAGTGGCGAATAAATGGAGGAAAATAGTGCAGTATGAGACTACATAGCAACACAATTAGGATAGCAGGAGCTTACAGACAACATCCACATAGCCGTCTGTAGCTTTGAAAAGTAATTCAGTCTCCTTGCACCTGAACCTCATTTATGTCATCTCTGACAAGGCTACTAAAAGGACTAAATTAGTTTACATCTGAAAGGATTTAGAATAGGGTGGCCCAATCAGCCATGACAGTGAATATGGGAGAATAAAAATGGATACTGTATTGAATTTTGGACATGTTGTGTATGTGACACTTTGGGGAATATTTAGCAAAATCCAATAAGCAGCTGGATATAAGGGGTGAGATCTCAGAGGTAATCTCCTGGGTTAGAGATTGAAGTGTCATCTAAATAAAGATGACACATATATACTTTTATCTCTCTTATAGTAATCTAGTTTCCATGTTTTCTGCTATCTTATTACATGCAGGTCACCTGCTATTTTTCTGCTTTCATACATAACATATTTCTGAAATTGTCAACAATCAAAATATTTGAACTCAAGCAATGCATTTACATATTCTAAACATGATTTTCTTCCCAGGCAGGTAAAATTATTTCACAATACACAGTTGCAGCTGATACTTTGTATGTAGGGTGAAGTATTATATATTTAATGTTTACTTTGCTTTCTTGCTAAACCTTACAAATGCAGACATAAACCCAATGATAATCAGATAGAGGAGGAATGTTTTTCAAATTTGATAAGTTATATTTCTCTAAGATTTTTTATCTTATTGATACATGATAGATGTACATATTTTGGGGGTACATGTGCTATTTTGATACATATAATATGTAAAGATCAAATGAGGATAATTGGGATATCTGTCACCTTAAATATCCATCTTTTCTTGATAACAGGAACATTCAAATTATCATCTAGCAATTTTGAAATGTACAACAGGTTTATCAAAGACTGGGCTCAACTGTCTATTTGTACCCATTAATCAACCTCTCTTCATCCTCCCTCTCCTTACTCTTCCTAGCTGTTATTAAGTTCTGAGGCTGTAGCTTCTCATTAGTAACATTGGCACATTAATTTATGTGCATTCATTTATTGATAACAAAGTAATAATGCACAGACTGCAGAGACTGTAATGTTTGCTAAGCAGAGCTTGTAAGGCCTAGAAATGGTTACTAGCTAATGAATGAACATCCTACATGCTATTGAAAATAATTTAAAGATGACAAAGTGTACTAGGTAAAACAGTGGGTTACATGAATGTTGGCAAAAGAAGAAAGTGAGATTTCTGTGTAGTGATGCTTACTGATACGTTAGTTTCATTTCTACAGACCTCTGTTCTAAAAAAACTGTAAAGTTGACCTATATCAATCAAAATAAATATGCATAGGTTGGTATGTGAATGAAGACATGAGATACTACAGCCATGTGAATGATTATTATCAAAAGCTGGTAAGCCAGTTATAATTAACACCGATAGCAAAAGTCATAAACTCCTCTGGGTGTGTTAAGTAATTGGCCTAAAATTCAAAAACAGATCTTTATCTCTTGAGAAGTAAAAGAAAAACTAGTTATTCTCTTATTCAGAGAATACAAACTTTGCTACGATGATTATAGATGAACCTTCAAGTGTCCTATAGAGATAAAAATGAATGGGAAACATCTTATGGCTGAAACTAGATCTTAAAAGAGAGAGGAGAAAAAAATTGAAGTTTTATGAAGCAATGAAACTGTCAAGATGGCAAAATATCCTTCATATCCTCATATATGTGGTAAACTAAAAGGGACATCGGAGTAAGTGCAGCATCTCAGTTCAGGTAAGAGCGGAATGTACATAGACAGTCTCTTGGTCACAATTTATGTTTATATTTTCAATCCTACCGCTTCAGTTTTGTCAACTCCTCATCATCAACCTTGGAATTCTAATTCTCATGATTACTAATCTCTTTATTTGTGAAGTTATCTGACAGTTTACTTTACCTAGGCTGGCAGTCTCAGAATCACATGTTCCATTTTATTTTGCCTGTAAGTAAATACTGGTAATAAAAGCACACTATTCTTTCAGTCTAAATACATGAGGCTAATCTTTCTTAACAATTTGTTCAGAGGAATATAATGCAGATTTCTAAAGATGTTCTTATCCTCTGATTTTGATATATCATGTTTCTGATCAAATTACCCGCTTTTGACTTAGAATGACTACTTAAGTTTGTCTTTATTAAAACACAATATTCTTACTGATGCCAGGAACATGAACAGTCATATTTAAAAGACGAGGTAAGAAGTAAAGTATTGACATGACAGAGTAACTTATTTCTGTGCAAGACTTTGTGGATGTAGAATGAGAAAGGAGAATGATAAATGGAACTGACTTGTAAAAATAACTCCTTTCCAATTTGTAATTTGAATTGATGTTCCACATTTACTTAAAATTCGTTAATCAAATCATTGTAACAAATTTATATCCACTTAGACCTCGAACAGTCTCACCTGAGTAAATAAATAGAACAAGTCCCTAAGTTTACTTCTCTGCAGTGGAATGCAACAAGAAGCTCAGAGTGAGTCCTTAATCTCTGATAATTGGTAGAAATTGGATATTTATAATGTAAAATTACTCATTTTATTTCAGATCATGGGAATTTAGCTCAAACTGATGGATATCATAATAGTGATAGCAGTATATATTAATATCTTTCTATGCACTAGCCACTGTGATAAGTGATTTACGTATATTTTCTCTCAATCCTTGAACTATTGCAGTTCATTGCAAGAAAAAAGTTGTAACACAGAAAAGAATGTTGGGACTTGGAAATATCAAACATGTTAAATTATGAGAAAATAGTATTCAAATGAAAATCTTTCTCATATGAAAGCTTTGATGTCATATTTCCTAGTTCTAGAAATTGTTTTTTCTTCTTTTTAAATTTCAGGTGCAAATCTATGAACTGTTCAGAATATTTTAGGTTAAATTTTTCTTGGACACTTTTCTTCTTTTCAATGTGTTTAGCTTTTAAAATATGCTATTCTATTTCTTGCCTATTTTTGATTTGTCAAATGAACACAATTGGGCCATTGTATCACTAGGTGACCTACTATTCATTAAGGGGTAGGTCATCATGCGATTCTGTTGTCTGGGGAGGGTTGTCTAGGAATATATCTTTGGCGTTAAGAGAGCTTTATAAGCCACTTCTAACTGAAAGGAGGTAACAGGTTCCACAGTTTCTAATGTATACATTAAAAATTTTTTGAATTTTCATGCATTTTAAAAAATGGAACCAGGTAAATTTCATTTTCACTTTTATTTAAAAAGAAAAAAAAAACACCAAAACTGGGGCACATTTAAGGGGAGAAAAACATAACATTTTTTGTCACTAAAAATACTTATAATCCATAAGCATTACATATTGTTACCAACAGCACTTTACCCTTTGACCACTGTAAAAGCAAGGTTTTTTTGTGAATAATCTCTCTATATTAGAGGTGTATAACATGTAAAAATACATAACATTATATGTGAATAATTAGGTGAATAATCTCTAAGATGAATGTCATCTATAATAACAGACTTTTTTGCAAGTCTATTAAATAAGAAATCTAGATTTTCAAAAAGAATGATCATAGTATCTAGATCTTTGCATGAACTCCGGACTCCCTGAGCATGAGTAATTAATATAAAATAAAGTGCTAGAAATGAAACATGAAATGTGTATACTTCCAGGATACTTGATTTTCAGCAGTAATTTTAAAGAAGAAAAAATGCACTGGAATCTTTTCCTGTAGAATAATACATTTCTACTTAAGTCTTCCTTTTTTTTATTTTTCTCTTTCTTACTAATTATTCCTTTGCTTTCTTCTCTCCTTCCTTTTTTCCGTTATTCTTCTTCTGTTTTAATTTACATTACTCTTGATTGGTTAGAATCTTTGAAAAACTTTCTACTATCATTCCCTTTTCTGCAATGACCCATAAGCTGAATGATAGCCACAGGCATTACATTGGAGATGTAATTGAAGTTGGGACATTGGAAATTCTTGGAGATAGTGATCACTCTATCTTTTTTGCTCCCACTAATGAAAAGGTATTAGAAGAAAAGGAAATATGGAAATTATAATTTGTTTGGATATAATCTTGAGTTTTATATGCCTATATTTCTTAAAATAAGTAATTTGTAAACTTTGGTACTCTTTGCATTGTTAATAACCTGTCACTTGTGTTCTGCCGAAAGACTGAGAGGGACTGCCTTGTGGGGAAACTTTCAGTGTTTGAGAAATTCTGCACCAAACCCTAGATTCTCCAGTCTGTCACTGTAGGAGGAGAGAAAGAGTAGAGAAGGGTCAAGTTAATGAGATCTGATTTATTTGATCATTCAAAAAATAAGATTCTCTCCCTAAAACATCATGGGTAGCTATCACTTATGGAGCCCAGGTGCTGTTCTGAATAATTTACCTGCATTGTGTCACACCATACCCAAAACTATAGGAAATAGGTGCCATTGTTCTCATCATTTGGTAAATGAGGAGGCTAAGTAACTTGCTTAGTTACAATTCAGAAAGTGGTGAATCATTTGATATTAGACTCCACTCTGAGGTAAAAAGCAAAGTGCTAGAATATACGCAGTTTCTGTTTAGCAAAACAAAGCAAAACTAAAAGTACATCTAAATTTAAGCTTTTAGAGAATTAGGTTAATAAAAATCAAGAAACTCAAATAAAACTGAATCACTCATACCCAAAAGAGTATGAAAACTGGTTTCCTGGCTTTTCTGGCCTTGGGGAGACAATGAAAAAAGAGCCAGCAGAGTTGAATCCTAGCCATCAGGTGCAATGTTCTGGAAGCACTTAGGAAGAGAAGACTTTCAGGCAAGGGCACGTCTTTAGTGGAAAAATATTTTCATACCAGAATGTTGTTTTGCGGATTATCAATTCAGGCTAATGGCATTATATACATTTTACTAAATAAAATGTTGTTTTATTTAGTAAATAATAGGATAATCAATTCAAATTAAAAGCATTATATACATTTTATTGTTCTTCACTAAATTAGATAAATATTTTATCGCCCTGCAGATATTACTTAAAAGTGGAAGTTGACTAAAATCATAATTTTCCCCTTACTCTCGGTAATTTAGGAATATCTATATGTATTGAGATTTTGAAGCATATTTTGATAAGCTTTTATGTACTATCGTAGCTACATTTGTGAGTAATCCCTAATTAATTATTATATTTTCCTTACAAGTAACTCAACTTTTGAACAAATCTAAGTATTTTATAGATAGACTTTCATGTTTTCTATAATGCTGTGTTTTCTTTACTTTTTACTGAAAGTTTGACAGCAACAGATTTCTTTATGAAGATTTTTAATCCCCTTTTCCTGGGCTTATTTTGAAGATCATTAAGATTATTTACACTCTTCTCTGGCTGCCTGGTTTCAAAATCTAATTAATTTTTTAAGGTACTGCCACTATATTCAAATTGAGGCTTACTCTTGAAAGGACATAAATGCAAAAATTCTAAAACCATCACTTCTCTCTCGTCTTTCCTGTTCTCTGCCCTCCTGGTTCTTTTGTTATTCAAGGGCCTGAAATTACATGATTTAAGGGCAACTGAGTATAAATTTAAAATACATCACTTATTTTCTAATCTTAATTTTTGATTATTATCCTTTTAATCACTTTATTTGTTCATATTTCTCGTTTTAATGGTGGCCTCTAACGATTTCAAGACAGAATTCTTACGTAATTGCTACTATTCAGTTTGGAATTCACTAAGAATTGCAACACTATATCCATATCTGATATTGTTATATCCAAGTCTAGCCAGTCATTCTGCAGCTGGCCCATGGATTTCCTCATCAATCTTTAGACAAATTTATTAAACCTTTAACATTACTAAACCCTTGCTCTGTACCAAGAAGAAGGAACAGTAGCTTTACAGATACTATTGTTAATCCACAAAGTAATACAACAAATTAATGTCATTACCTCTCATTTTTCTTTGAGAAAACTTAGAATGGGAGGGTCTCGATAATTCCCTGAGGTCAGAATTCTTATAAAAGGACAATATTTGAATCTGAGTCTATTGAACTCCAGTATCTACCTAACTTCTCTGAATAACAAAGTCTGTGCTTCTTTGGAGTACCAGGCCATATCTTCTTCATTTGTGTCATATGGAAGAAACTGAAAAATTCCCTGTAACAAAGGCATAGGAGACAATGATCAATTGGCTTTATGGAGAAGAAAGCTATTCTATATCAAATGCATAGTATTTTGCTCTGTAATCCATATAATCTAAAACACCTTGAAATCTTTGAGCAAACTTCCTCTGAGAGAAAGTTGTTTAATCAATTTTGCGAAACATGTATTATATTAAAGATGTATTTTATAAATCATAGTTATTATCCCAGAATATACAGATTGTAGGTTTATAACACCCCTGCCTCCTTTTCTTTAACCAAATTTTATTTCTGTTATTGAAATAATTATGTTAGTGCATATAGGAATTTGAATTATATTCTATTTTAATCTGAAGATCAGTTGACCCATAACTGAGTGTAACCATCGCATTAAGTATTATTTTATTTAGAAATTGACCTAGATGTACTTTGAAGTTTTTTTGTTTGTTTTGTTTTTTTACATCTTGAAGGACCTACAGTAGGATGGTTTCCATAATGGATTTCACCATGCCTAAGAAGTTTGTCCAGATGCTGGTTTTTAACTTGACTCTGACTGAAATTGCTCTAAGTGGGAATGTGTTAATTTGGCCTACAGATGGTAGCCATTGGTTAAATATTAAGATTATTCTAGAAGAGTTGATTCAAAGAAATCACAATGTGACTGTACTGGCTTCATCAGCAACTCTATTCATCAACTCCAATCCTGATTCTCCTGTGAATTTTGAAGTGATACCTGTTTCCTACAAGAAGAGCAATGTAGATTCCTTAATTGAGCATATGATAATGCTGTGGATTGACCATAGACCAACTCCTCTCACAATATGGGCTTTCTACAAAGAACTAGGAAACCTTCTAGACACTTTCTTTCAAATTAATATGCAAATCTGTGATGGTGTACTAAACAACCCCAAGTTAATGGAAAGACTTCAGAAAGGTGGTTTTGAAGTGTTAGTAGCAGACCCAGTAACAATCTGTGGTGATCTCATTGCTCTGAAATTAGGAATTCCATTTGTGTACACATTGAGGTTCTCTCCAGCATCAACAGTGGAGAGACACTGTGGGAAAATCCCAGCACCGGTCTCCTATGTACCGGCAGCCTTGTCAGAGCTCACTGACCAGATGACTTTTGGTGAAAGGATTAAAAATATGATATCTTATTCTCTGCAAGACTATATATTTCAGTCCTACTGGGGAGAATGGAATTCATACTATAGCAAAATTTTAGGTAAGTTTAAAATTTTCTCTTTTTAATGACTCCACATCCCTTATTTGTGCTTATTGTTGTACGGCAAAAGATTTCCATTCCACTGCATATGCTGAGCTGAAGATAATGGACTTCTAATATCTCTGTATAAACAACTCCCTGATTATTCTCTTTGAACAAATCCTTAAAAATGAAATGGTGGATTTAATATGTATGCTATTTTCTCTTAATGCAAACAACTTTGTGTCTATTGAGGTAATAGCTTTTCAATGTATAAATCAATTTCAAAATATAAATGAAAGTGCCTGTATTAGGATACATTATAACACTACTCAAAAATACCCTGGCAAATATTTTCGAGGTGATGCATGACTTACTGTCCCTCCTTTGTCCTTCATTATTTTCTTTGTCTGCAGAAAGCTTTGAAAAGCATAGAATCAGGCAATAGAAAACCAGAGTTTACACTCTACTCTAGTTCTCACTGTCTGTCTTTACACTTCTCTGGGTACTTGGGCACCATGTCTCAAATTAACTTCTGTCTATCCTGTGGCCAGCCTCACATTTCCTTTCATGAAGCATTCCTTATGAGAATCAAGCACGATAATATTAACCATCAAGGCCAGTCCTGATTGATTGTTTATATTACTTATTTTTCCTGACTTTTATGAGCCTCCCTATTTTTATTTCCTTCTCTCTTGAATGGTTTTGCCTCCAGATCTCTTAGTACTTGGGACACTAATTAATAGCACGAATTAAAAGATGATGCTACCACTGGTACTTTCTTGCAGAGGTAATGTGAAAGGCTTTTTACATACCTTTTGACTTCCCTTTCTTTCCCCCTCACTCCCCTTGGTCCTTCCATTTTTCCTTCTTTCCTTCCTTCGTTCCTTTCTTCGTTCCTTCCTTGCTTCCTTCCTGCCTTCTTGCCTGCCTGCCTTCCATTTTTACTTTTCTTAGTTCATTCTCTCTTGTTTTCTTTGTGTAAAAAAAAAGTATTTGTTGAATGCCAACCTAGTTCCTACAACTTGGCTAAGTGGTAGGAATACAACAATAAGCAAAGCAGATCAAATTATCTACTCTATCTCATGGAACTTACATTCTAATGAGAGGAGACAACCAATAAATAAAATAAATATATAAAATATGTGGATGTTAACCTGTGATATATGCTATGTAATAAAGTAAGAAGAACGGATAGTTCTTAGAGTGAGGTTGCATATTTAAATAGAGCAGGCAGAGAAAGTATCAAATGAAAGAACGACATCAGGCCAAAGACCTGAGGGAAGTGAAAGTGAGAATTCATAAGATCCCTGGAGGAAAAGCCTTTTAGGAGTAGGTAAGAACAAGTATAAAGACCTGTGGCAAGCCATACACACAAGAATGCTCATCAACTCACTTGATCTTACTCTCATCTTTCACAAGTGGTATTTGTGTGTCTCTTTTTTCTCCTCTTGATATTGCAAAACTCTTGCAATAATTTTTTATCAAAAACTTTTCAACTTTTTCATAGAATTTGTCTGGAGGAAAGATATTAAATATACCATATAAAAAACATATGCAAGGTAAATAAAATTTGAGTTTATTTTTGAAGATGAGGTAATTAAAATTTTATAATTCTGTGTTTTTAAAGTTCCTTTAAGGCATAATCTAACCAGATTTCCTTTTTTTTTCTGGCTTTCAGATTTTGTATGCCTTCAAACCACATTTTTCTTTTAATTTAGGTGTATGATTCACATGAGTATGTTTCAAGACATTTGAAATGTGTTCTATGATAATTGTCACTAGCCAGGTACGTATTGGATAGTGATTATTATAGTTACTGAATGAGTTAACAATCTATACACCTTAAATAAGAGACATACAAAAAGTAAGAAGGTGAAGGATCCTGAAAAATACGTGTGGCTCCAGGTTCCGATTCCACTTGCTAACTGTGATCTCAGACAAGTAGCTGAAACTTTTGAGTCACAATGCTTTCTCTTCTTTAAAATAGGGTTAAAAATTTCAGTATACTCGTTAGGAGGATCATATGGCATCATTTGTGACTATTCCATATCAATTATAAAGAATTAAACTTATATTAAATATTATTTACAGCAAACTACTTAGGAAGCCTGCAATGATAAAACCCTAGTTACATGACCATGTAACTAGGGCTCTGTAAATGGAAAGTAGCCAAAAAACTCTGCAAAAAATAAATGGTTTCTGGTATGTACTAAACCTTCCTTCTCAAAGGAAGCCATAAACAATTAGATAAATGTGAAAAAGACTTTGTAAAACAGCAAGTTCCCAACTTCTCACCTTTACAGAATAATAATCTAGGTTCAGAAATTCTATCATTTCAGAAATTAAATATCCTATTTACTGAAATCCTTCATGCTTCTTATGTTACTAAACATATCTGAACAACAAATAACTGCCTTGAATATTTTATTTCAAATTAAGGTATACTGTGAAGAACTGGTAAAACCACATTTTGTGTTTTGTTTGCCATCACATTCTCAAAGCATTAAGAACACCTGCTAACTGTAAACTGATATTGAAAGAGGGCAGATACACAATTTTACATAATTCTGTTTGACCACAGGAAAGCTATCAACATGTCAAATTTTTGTAGAGTTTCCATTACAGTAGTTGTTCTTCAGTTCTGTGTAGGAAAAATAGACTAGAGAAATGACATGTTAAATTGTGACAAAGAAAAACTCTGTCTTGAAGGACATCGGAATAAGTACAAGGATACATTTGATTGCACCAGTTAAGACACTTGTTTTCTATATCAGTGAGGAAGTCTTAACTGTGACAGATGAAATGAGTAAAACAATTAACATTTTAAAAATACCTTTAATAGCTAAGGGAACAGGGATATCAGGAATTATGAAAATCATTGCTACTCATATCCAGAAGCAAATCTATTAATAAATTTTGGGCAGGCCAAGTGTTCCGCATGGCACTATCAAATTTAACTGAATCTTATTTCTTTCTCTCTCTCTTTTTTATTTTTAAAATTCTTTTTTGAGATGGACTCTCACTCTGTTGCCCAGGCTGGAGTGCAGTGGCGGATCTTGGCTCACTGCAACCTCTGCTTCCCAGGTTCAAGTGATTCTCCTGCTTCAGCCTCCAATGTAGTTGGGATTACAGACATGCCACCAGGACAAGCTAATTTTTGTATTTGTAGGAGAGACGAGGTTTCACTGTGTTGGCCAGGCTAGTCTCAAATTCCTGACCTCAAGTGATCCACCCGCTTTGGCCTCACAAATTGCTGGGATTACATGCTTGAGCCAACGCGCCTGGCCTCTGAACCTTATTTCTTCCTCAACTTCTAAGAGATCTGCTGTACAGCACATAGATAGTTCTCACTGTAGAATTTGAGACTAGCCTTTGCTGCAGCAATAGAAAGGTTAAGCCCTTGAACACTGTAGTGAAAATGGTTAGACAGGTAAGGCAACTGGAAACTGGATGACTCCATTTTGCATGGGTCTTTTGGGTTTCCAGTCTGTCTCCATCCATCCCAGCGCCCTGTAGATCAAGAGAGCAGAAAGCCCAGTAATAAGCTATATGACACTTGGCTGGTATAATTTCGTTTTCACTGTCAGTACTATGTTGGGCTCTCTTTCCCTGCTGATATATTTTATTTATTCGTTTTTATTTTTTGACTTTTAATATTTAATTTTAATCTGAACTTTAATCCTTACTCCTCTTTTTAAATTTATTTTTATTTTTAAACTTTTTTGTGGGTACATAGTAGTATATATTTAGGGGGTACATGCGATGTTTTGGTATAGGCCTGCAATGTGAAATAAGCACATCCTGAAGTCTGGAGTATCCATCCCCTCAAGCATTTCCTGCTGATAAATTTCAGATGGATTCTTAGATCTAATGTTACCTTACCCCAGCCCATGAAGAAAACAAATCTAACAGTTAATGAGACACTCCCGCACAATATAAGATAAAAATGAGGGTAATGGGCCTTTTGTCTCGTTCTAGATGTCAATGGAAAATCATTCATTGTTTACCATTAAGTGCGATGTTTGCTCTAGGCTAATTTTAGATACCTCTTATTAGATTGAGGAATCTCCCTTTTTCTTTTTAGTTCAAATATCATCGTGAAAGGATGATGAATTTTATCAAATGTTTTTCTGTGTCTGTTGAAATTATTATATTTTTCTTCTCTTTGTTCTGCCAATATGGTAAAATATATAAAGTGATTATCAGTTGTTAAATCAACTTTTTATTTTTGGAATGAACCCCAATTAACTTAAGAAAAAAATAGCCTCTTAACCTTCCCCCTCTAACCAACTTGTCTGGAACTGAACTAGATTAATCACAGTAATGTATTATTTGTATTTCATCTATAATTTCTTTTCTGGGCACAGTGTTTTATTTATTGGTTCTCTTCATTTCCTATCCCAACTCTAATTCTCATACCCTACTTCCCACTCTTTCTCTGGAAAACTTGGAGCTTTCTGTTAATCTTTCCTCACAGAAGCCTTCCAGTTCCTTCTTATATGTAGCTTTCCTGCGATCAGTGCTGTGGGTTGTTGTCGTTGTTTTGTTTTGTTTGTTTTTTGAGATGGAGTCTCGCTCTGTCGCCCCCGCTGTAGCGCAGTGGAGAGATCTCGGCTCACTGCAAGCGCCGGTTCCCGGGTTCACGCCATTCTCCTGCCTCAGCCTCCCGAGTAGCTGGGACTACAGGCATCCGCCACCATGCACGGCTAATTTTTTGTATTTTTAGTAGAGACGGGGTTTCACCGTGTTAGGCAGGATGGTCTAGATCTCCTGAACTCGTGATTCGCCCGCCTCGGCCTCCCAAAGTGCTGGGATTACAGGCGTGAGCCACTGCACACGGCCGGGTTTTTAAAATTTTGTGTAATCTTTCTGTAAAACATTAATCCTAAACTTTATAGTTCATTGAAGTTTCACGAAATAACCCCACCCTTGCAACCAGCACTCAAATTAATTACACAAAACATGAATGCAATCCCTAACTCCTCCTTCTTCTGCTTATCAGTCCCTACAGCTCCTAT